TTCGGGCCCCGCATCGGGCTCTGTGCTGACTGCCAGCTCAGAGCCTGGAGTCTGTTTCAGTCTGTGACTCCCTCTCTCTCTGACCCTCCCCTGCTCACGCTGTCTCTCTCTCTCAGAAATAAATAAAACATTTAAAATATATATATATATTTTTGAGAGAGAGAGACAGAGCTCAAGCGGGGGAGGGGCAGAGAGAGAGAGGGAGACCCAGAATCGGAAGCAGGCTCCAGGCTCTGAGCCATCAGCACAGAGCCTGATGCGGGGCTCGAACTCACGAACTGCAAGATCATGCCCTCAGCCGAAGTCAGATGCTCAACCAATTGAGCCACCCAGGTGTGCAGGGCCTCTCAGAGAGAAAGAAGACAAAATTATGAAACCAAAATTAGGTATGGGGACTGGTAAGGGTCCATTGTAAAGGGCGGGAGGGGGACCCTGAATCCCAAGCTTCACTCACTTGGGGGCCGGGCCTCGTGTGGAAGGGAGGCCGTCATGTGAGTTATCAGGTGGAGGAGTCTCAGAAGAGAAGGCAGAATGGACAGTTTCAAAGGACAGAGTATTGGGACTTCAAACCCCTTATGCCATATTCTTAGATGATTGGCAGCGATAGTGATGGAGCGAGAGGTCAGGAGCACCTTGGGACTCTCTCCGCTTTCCAAAGCACAAAGAGAAAGTGGAGGCCTTTGCAGTGGACAAGGAACTGCCTTGAACAATCAAAACAGGAATGGTTGGAGAAACGGGGGTGTTGGGCAGAAGCGACCGTTCAATTGGGTCGGTGGGCGTGGGACAGCTTTATTTCTTTATTTAGGCTAGGTAAATGTTCAAAACTCGAGATAGGGAAGGATTTACAGTCTTGGCAGTTTCTGGTGTAGTTTTCCCAGGGAACTGCGTGCCCAGGGAATACCTAGATATAATTTTTTAAAGAAACGCAACGGTAGCACATCATACCCACTGTTCTGCCTCTGGAGCACTCCACTCAACAGGACACCTTAGGGGCGCCTGGGTGGCTTAGTTGGTTAAGCGTCCGACTTTCGCCTAGGTCATGATCTTGCGGTTCGTGGGTTTGAGCCCCGTGTCGGGCTCTGTGCTGACTGCCAGCCCAGAGCCTGGAGCCTGTTTCGGAGTCTGTGACTCTCTCTCTCTTTGACCCTCCACTGCCCACGCTGTCTCTCTCTCTCTCTCCTAGAAATAAATAAAACATTAAAAAAAGCATTAAAAAAATAAAAAAAAAGGAGTTATAATAAAAAAAAAAAAAAACCCAACCAGGACACCTTAGAGAGTGCTCCGTATCAGGACACAAAGAGTGTCCTCCTCCTTTTTGATGAATGCATAGTATTGCGTCATAAAGATCCGCCGCAACTCATCTACCTGTTCCCCACCGCTATGCATTCAGCTTGTTTCCACTCTTTTGCTAAAACACCGTGTGCCGCTAGGACTCTCCGTCTAGCGAGATTATTTTGCACAAGTGTGACTCTGTCTCTAAAAGAAATTCCTAGAAGTGGAATGGGTCAAAGGGTATATGCCTTTGTAATTCTGACAGACATTGCCAAGTCATCCTCTCACCAGTGACGCGCAAGGGTGTTTGTTTCCCCCTACGCCCCAACACAGCATGTTATCAACTGCTGTTATCTTCGTTGATCAGATAGGAAAAAATAGTATCTCAGTGCAGTTGTAGCTATATTTCTCTTCTCATGAATGAATCTGAATGTTTTTTCATTCAGAGCTATTTGTATTTCCTTTGCTGGGCAGCCACCAGCCTATGTTGGCCAGATTACTATTGGATTGTTAGTTATTTTCTTATTGATTTGTAATCACTCATTATATGTTGAAGAAATGAACCCATTGTGTCAAGATGCTTATGTTATTCCTCAGCTTGTTTACTTCCTAGAACGTTACACTGGTCTTTGGAATAATAATAACATTGGGAGGAATTGAGGGTCATCATCCCTCTCAGTTTCCCAGAAGGCAAAATAATGTCACTCTCTAAGTAACATAATTTTCCTTTCTCTTCTTTTCTTTTTTCTTTTCTTTTCATTTCTTTTTTTTTAATTTTTTTTTTTATTTCTTTCTAGGAGAGAGAGAGAGAGAGAGACAGCGTGAGCAGGGGAGGGTCAGAGAGAGAGGGAGTCACAGACTGAAACAGTCTCCAGGCTCTGAGCTGGCAGTCAGCACAGAGCTCGACGCGGGGCCCGAACCCACGAACCGCGAGATCATGACCTAAGCGAAAGTCGGACGCTTAACCGACTAAGCCACCCAGGCGCCCCTTTTCTTTTTAATTTCTGAGAGAGAGGGAGAGAGAGGGAGAGAGAGGCAGCCTGAGCAGGGGAGGGTCAGAGAGAGAGGGAGACACAGAATCAGAAGCAGGCTCCAGGCTCTGAGCTGTCAGCACAGAGCCTGCTGCGGTGCTCAAACCCACAAACCATGAGATCATGACCTGAGCTGAAGTCCGAGGCTTAACCGACTGAGCCACCCAGGCGCCCCAGTCTAAGTAACATAATTTTCAATTGTACGTAAAAGTTGTTAAGTAGATTGTGAAGCATCAGTGTTAGTTTATTCAACAAATAGCACTTACTGGGGGCCAGATGCTATTCTAGATGCTGAGATTATAATGATGACCAAAACCATCAAGATCACACTGCCGTGGAGCTGACTTTCCAGTGAGGGAGATGCACTGTGAAAGCGTAAACAGAGAGGTGCCTTGAGATAGTGATAAGTCTTATGAAGGAGGCGAAATGGAGGTAAAAACAGGAGGTGTGGTGGTGGCTGGTTTAGATTAAATGGTCAGGGAGGGTATCTCTGAAGAGGTGATTTTACATGAGGACCTGAGTGACAAGAAGGGTCCAGGAGTATAAGAACTAGAACTGCCTGGCAGAGGGAACGACACATGCAAAGATCCTGAGGTAGGAAGACTAGCACAGGTTTCAGTATTAAGGGCCATAGAGGCCAGGTGAGTAGTTTGAATTGTATTGTTCTGGCTTTGAGAAGCCATTGGAGTGTTTATGTATGTGTATGTAAAAGGTCTTGCTTTTTCTTTTGGAAATGTTCAAACCTAAAAGTAGAGAGTATGATATGAGGAATTGCATATACCTTCACCCAGCTCAATAGATATCAACATTTTGCCAATACTGTTTCATCTATCTCCTCACTTTTTTGGTGGAGATGCTGGATATTTTTCTCCCCCTTTCTCCCTTAAAAAAGGGGGTGGCATCTGGGTGGCTCAGTTGGTTAAGTGTCCAACTCTTGGTTTCGGATCAGTTTGTGAGTTCAAGCCCCACATTGGGCTCCATGCTGACAGTGTGGAGGCTGCTTGGGATTCTCTCTCTCCCTCTCTCTCTGCCCCTCCCCTGCTCTCTCTCTCAAAATAAGTAAATAAGCATAAAAAAGTTTTAAAAAGTTTTCATTGAAGTATAACAAATACTGAAAAGTGCACAAATCATAACCATGCAGACCACTGACACTCACAAACTGAGCACACCCGGGTAAGTTGCACCCAGATCAAGAACTGAATATGACCAGCTCTCCAGGAGCCCCTGGGATGCCTTCTGGTCTCCACCTCCCAAACTTCTGTCATGCAAATGGAACCATACAGAATGTTCTCTGTCATGTCTAGCTTCTTCCACATATCATGTTTGGGAAGTTGGTAGTGCTGTGTGTCCTTACAGACTGCGGACTGCCCCTTCTCGTTGCTGTTCTAGTGAATCAGTTTACTCACCTATTCAATTCTTGTTTTGTTTTGTTTTTTAATGCTTATTTATTTTTGAGAGAGACAGAGTGCGAATGGGGGAGGGGCAGAGAGAAAGAGAGACACAGAATCTGAAGCAGGCTCCAGGCTCCGAGCTGTCAGCACAGAGCCCGACATGGGGCTCGAACCCACGAACCTTGAGATCATGACCTGAGCCGAAGTTGGATGCTCAACAGACTGAGCCACCCAGGCGCCCCATTTACCTATTCGATTCTTGACGGGTACTTGGGTTTTCTTCAGGTTTTGGCTGTTACAAATGGTTCTGCCGTGAACATTCTGGTACACATCTTCTGGTGAACACACACCCACACACACACTTACAGACCTTGGTGCGGCCCTGCTGGGTCGTGAGGCAGGCCTAGGCTCAGCTCTCGTAAATCATGTCAGTATTGGTTTGCTAGGGCTGTCATAACAAACAACCATAAACTTGTTGTCTTAACAGAAATTTAGGGGCACCTAGGTGGCTCCGTGGGTGAAGCGTCCGACTCTTATTCTCAGCTCAGGTCTTGATCTTAGAGTTGTGAGTCCAAGCCCCTCACTGGGCTCCACACTGGGCATGAAGCCTACTTACACACACACACACACGCGCACACACACACACACACACACACACTATTTCGCAGTTCTAGAAGCTTCCAAGCTAGTGTGTTGGCAGGTTGGCCTTCTTCTCTCTGGGTCTCTTCATAGTGCCTGCCCTCCGTGTGTGTTTGTCTCTGTGTTCAAACTCCCCTAACCCTATAGATACCAGTCATATCAGATTAGGACCCATCCTGAAGTCCTAGTTTTACCTTGACCACCTGCACAGACCCCTCCGGGGTTCTGGGGGTTAGGATTCCTGCCTATCTTTTGAGGGGAGGACATAATTCAAACCACAACATTGCCAATCAGTCTTCCAAAGTGGCTGAACCCATTTACTCACCCACTCACTGTCCGCTGGAGTGCTTTAAAGGCAATTCCAGACATGGTATCATTTGTCTTGAGTGTTTTAAAAGGAGGGAAGACTTGGGCTGATTTGCAGTTTTAAACGATACTATTTGTTCTGTGGGAATGTAAGCCAAGGCAAATATTTCTTCCAGAAAGGAAAGGTAAATAGTGAGTGAGCCCTCTGGGGACAGCCCACTTAGGACGCTCTAGTAGCCTGGGGGTCCCTCCTGAGTGCCCGTAGCTCAGGGGCACCATTCAGAGACGAGGTTACATCCCTTGCTGCCCAGAGTGGGGCCAGGACTCAGGCTGTCGTTCTGTCCACCCCTCTCCCTGCCAGGACATACAGCAGCTCCTCCAGCTCCAGCAGCTAGTGCTTGTGCCGGGTCACCACCTCCAGCCGCCCGCTCAGTTCCTGCTGCCGCAGGCCCAGCAGAGTCAGCCAGGTAAGGCCTTACCAGGATGTGTCCCCGACGATGTTTCCGCCAAACTCTCCCTCCCCCCTCACCCCATGCATTCCCCTTGTCTCCCCAGGCCTGCTACCGACGCCAAATCTCTTCCAGCTACCTCAGCAAACCCAGGGAGCTCTTCTGACCTCCCAGCCCCGGGCCGGGCTGCCCACACAGGTGAGAATGTCCACCAGGTGTGCCAGGCTGGGTGAGCGGGGGTCGGGAGGGGGTGGGGGAGAGGGGCAGGCTCTCCTCTCCCTTTGACCCTCCCTACACAGCCATCGGGGCCAGGGCCGGGACAGGAGTCAGCAGACCTGGGGTCCAGCTCTGTGCTGTCACTGATTTGCTCTGGGACCTTGGTCAAGCTGCTCTCCCTGTCTGGGTCCTCTTTTCCCTCTACAGAATGAGGGAAGTCAGCCAGGCCAGTGGCTCTTAACCCTTTCAGACACATGGACTTCTTTGCGAATCTTGGTGAAAACCTTTGATCTGACCCCCAGTGCCCCAACATGAGTATAAGTACACACAACAAAACCTATAGGCTGTGGCCTGGCCTTTCTGTTTGCTGACTGGCTTCTAGACCTTAATAATACTCTTTCACGATTCTTTACGGATTTCAATGTTCCCTCCTACCCTTTTATTTATTTATTTATTTATTTATTTATTTTAAATCTACACCTTTATTTATTTACTTTTCAGTTAGTTTAAATCCTTGAGGGGTACAGCATCACACGGATTCTGTGGCCAATGGCTTTAGCAGTAAGGTTGCTTTGGAATTTTGCACGAACCATGCCACTATTCCCATGAGCACGAGTTACTTTTCCCCAGATTACTCTGGTTTTATTCGATTTGCCACCAGGAGTCACTGTGTTGTTCTTTGCTTTGTACACATAAGCACATCTCTTGCCTAGATAGAACTCAGTTTCATCTCGGGCATATACACCTTCAATTTTAAGAAGAGCTGTGTGCTCCCTCTGGTTCCTGAGACCCCGTTTATAGCCAGCAAAAATGGCTTTGGACCACAACCTTCCAGACATATTTGTCGTTTCAGGAGTCCTGTTCCCAGCAGGCCTCCACGGGTTCAAAGATGGCGGAAAGAGCACCCCTTTTTTTTTTTTTACAGCACTTTCAAAAAATATGAACTATTTCAGAAAGCCCCCCAAACTGTAGGGACAAATACAGGGCTGAGCTGCAATTCTGAAATCCAAAATGCTCGCAAAACCCAGTTGTTTTTGTAATGTGAGACCAGAAGTCATTTGGCTGCAACACCCTTCTTGACCTTGGGCAAGGAGTATGACTTTCCTTTCTCCCTCCTCTGTGATATTCCTGCTTTGCTGGGGGCTGTTAATGTGTTCAATTATGGGGTGATGCCTTGACCCTGATGGGGGAAGGGTCACATTATTTCTGATATGTGCCCCATGTAGGCTTTCTAAAATCTGCAAAATTTCTGAATTCCTTGACACAAAGTCAAGGACTTGTGTGACCAACCTGGCTGCACTCACCACCTATTTCAGATTTTTTATTTTTAGGGAAGTCAAGCATTCCAGAGAGAGAGCTGTTGCTTCTTTGTAAATCCCCCAGTGGCCCTCCCCATCATCCACTTTTAAAGATACTTTCACTTTACAAAAGTAAAAATAAAAATACTTTCACTTTATTTGCAGCCTTTAACCAGATTCTCCCAACAACCCCATGGGGTCAGTAGAGTGGCCATGATTGTTTCCATCCTGCAGAGGGGAAAACCAAGGCCCAGGGAGATTTTAAGAAACTGGCCCGAGTTACCCTGGAATTTGGTAGCAGAGCCAGTCCTTGATTCCCTGCCTGAGAGAAGGATAAAACCATGGCCCGCATCTTCTGGAAAAAGCCCTTGGTTGAATGGAGTTGGCTGCTCCTTCCGGGAGTCTGCAGGCCGGGGGGGGNGGGGGGGGGGGGGGGGGGGGGGGGGGGGGGGGGGGGGGGGGGGGGGGGGGGGGGGGGGGGGGGAAGGGGTGTGCAGAGAGGTCCAGGCAGTGAGAGGACCCTAGTGGAGCCGCAGAGTGACTCTTTGCTGGGGACTGACAATGAGTGTGGATCAGCCTCCGGGGCACAGGTGGAGAGGAGCGTGCAGGAAGAGGGGGACCGCAGCGAGGGGGAACTGCTCCTCGGTCCTGCATCCCACCCCCCTGCTGCCGACCCTACCAGGCCGTGACCCGCCCCACGCTGCCCGACCCGCACCTCTCGCACCCGCAGCCCCCCAAATGCTTGGAGCCACCGTCCCACCCCGAGGAGCCCAGTGACCTGGAGGAGCTGGAGCAGTTCGCCCGCACCTTCAAGCAACGCCGCATCAAGCTGGGCTTCACACAGGTCTGGGGCCACCAGGCAGGATGGGCCGTGGGCAGAGGGTGACGGGGCCTGGCCAGCTGGTGGGTGAGGCACGGGCTACCCCTCCTTGAGCAGTGGCTACCCAACTCCTGAGCCTGGGGCCGGTGGGTGGGGCCAGGATGCGGACAGAAGGTCTGGCCCTGACCGCTGCCCCATTCCCACCCCACTGGGCCAGGGTGACGTGGGCCTGGCCATGGGCAAGCTCTATGGCAACGACTTCAGCCAGACGACCATCTCCCGTTTCGAGGCCCTCAACCTGAGCTTCAAGAACATGTGCAAACTCAAGCCCCTCCTGGAGAAGTGGCTCAACGACGCAGGTTGGGACTGGTCTGGGGCTCCCGGAGCGGGCGGCAGGCGGTGGGCCCGGGAGGCGCCCTCTCATGCCCCCGTCTCCTCCCGGGCACAGAGACTATGTCTGTGGACTCAAGTCTGCCCAGCCCCAACCAGCTGAGCAGCCCCAGCCTGGGTTTCGACGGGCTCCCTGGCCGAAGACGCAAGAAGAGGACCAGCATTGAGACAAACGTCCGCTTCGCCTTAGAGAAGAGTTTTCTAGCGGTGAGACCCTGGCTTCCAGGGCAGCCCTGATGGGCCAGCAGGGATGGGGGCGGAGGAAGGGGGAGGGGGTCGGGCCTGGGGTTCACTGAGCGCCTCTGCCCGCAGAACCAGAAGCCTACCTCAGAGGAGATCCTGCTGATCGCGGAGCAGCTGCACATGGAGAAGGAAGTGATCCGCGTCTGGTTCTGCAACCGGCGCCAGAAGGAGAAACGCATCAACCCCTGCAGCGCAGCCCCCATGCTGCCCAGTCCGGGGAAGCCGGCTAGCTACAGCCCCCATCTGGTACCAAGAGCCCCAGGGTTGGTGGGGGGGAGAAAGGGGCTGTTTAAAGCTCAGACAGAGCCCCGCCCCTAGGCAAGCACCTCTGTGAAGCCCTGCCTACTTGGTTGCCTAGCACAGAGGCAGGGAGACTCACGCTTGGGGACTGGCTGTTGTGTGGATGAAGCACAGTCACGCAGGGACACAGTCTTCAGGGAACTGCGGTCTTATGTGAGAGATACAGGCACCCACAGACACACAGTGACATAGCCAAAATCAGTCATCACAGGGCGGGGCCTCACAGGGATGGATCCCAGGTAGGGATGGAGGTACCCCCCCCCTGCCCCCCACACACAGGTTCACAACCACACAGACGCAGGCAGGGACAGCATTACGCACTGAGTGTACACTCAGGCCCACCGCAGCACGCAGACGCGCTCGGGATCAGACACACTGGGACACCCTTTCATCGCATCTAGTGTGGAAAAGGCTGTGACAGTATGGAGAAGAACAAGGGGCCCAGAGGAGCCTCCCACCCCCTGGTATGGAGGAAGAAGGGACCATCTGAGCTGAGTTGACCCATCTGACAAGGGACGGGTATAGGCAGCTGCATGAAGCACCGGCAAAGGGACTGCTGTGCAGAAAGGCCTAGAAGCCTGGGTGTGCTGAGCCCAATCTGAGGAACTCCAGTGCAGTTTAATGTGGTTGGAATGGGAATGTATATGAATGAGTACAGGGGCAGGGGATAGGGGAGGGCCAGACTCCCAAGTAACATGCTGAGGAGTTTGAACTTGAACCTTAGGCGGTGAGGAGCTAAGGAGGAGTTTTGAGCTGAGGAGGGAGAGGGTCACATTAAGAGTGAGGTTTCTAGAGCTGATAGAAGGATGAGACTGGAGGCAGGGAGGCTGAGGAGGCTGCTGGGTGGTTCCAGAAAATCGAGCAGTGTGATATCCCAACACTCTGATGCAGAGACACCCCTGGTCATCATAACCACATACACACACACACACACACACACACACACACGCATGTGTGCATGCGCACGCACGCTTCAGAGCTGCATCTGGATGGTGTCAGTGGAGAGGTGGGGGAACACTCTCAGCTGAGAATTATTTCCTCCCACCTGTGGCTCAGGATCACTTAGAGTAGATATTAAGATATGACGGAAAGAACTTGGCATAAATACAAGCATAGCATTGTGCCCAAAGCCCCTTCGCCCCCCAGCCTGGGGGCAGATGAACGGGGCTCTTACCCACAGGGAGTATCATGAGGGCTGCTGGGAAAGTGGCCTAACCATGCCTTCTTTCCTCTCTCCCTAGGTCACACCCCAAGGGGGCGCCGGGACCTTGCCATTGTCCCAAGCTTCCAGCAGTCTGAGCACAACAGGTCAGGGAGGGCGGAAGCCGGTGAGGGGGCATTGGGAGGCCACAATGCAGGCCCCCGTTTCTCTAGTGGCTCAGGGCGGCTGTGGGCCTTACGGCTGAGCTTGGGGATGAGGGAGGCAGGGGGCACAGAGGGGAGAGAGTGGCTACACCCCTCCGCGCCAGAGCAATTCAGCTTTCATCTGCTCCAGGATTTCATATGAGAAAAGCTGGGGGTTTTTAAAAGTAGATGAACTTGGGTTCTGTTCCTGGCATTTATAAACTACGTGAACTCCAGAAATGACTTTACCTCTCTGAGCCTCAGCTTTTAAAAAATTGTTGTGAATGTATAATACATACAAAGCTATATACATGAATATACACATATAAGAGTGTGTATATGTATGTGTGTGTGGATACATATGTACACACACACACATACATATACACACGGCTTTGTGCATAAAGCCCCCCTTGCTGCCTTCCTGGGACAGGGCATGTGTAACAGGAGCCTGGCTGGCTCAGGCGGTAGAGTATGCCGTTCTTGATCTTGGGGTCGTGAGATCGAGCCCCATGTTGGGTGCAGAGATTACTGAAATAAATAAACTAAAAAAAAAAAAAAAAAAAGGATAAAAAACAAACATCATATTGATTTCTCAGGTTAAGAAATAATAAGTGGAAGTTTATAAAGTAGTAAGGTGTGCCTGCCACTATCTAAACTCTTTAGAAAGAATATTAACTCATTTTCACACCCATTTAATGAAGTAGGTTCTATTATAATGCCCATTTTCCAGAATAGGGAACTGAAGACCAGAGAGGTGAAGGCACTCACCCAAGGGTACAGATGGCACATGACAGGCAGGAAATTGCTGCCTTGGCTGGCTGTCTGGCCTGAGTCTGGGCCCTGAGCCCTGTCGTCCTCGGCGTGCACAGCCGCAACCCCCTGCCTGGCCCCTAGAGGGAGCCACAGGGCGTAGTCTCCTGGGAGCCCGGGTTTGGTCCGCTGGGGAGGAGGACTCCGCGCTGAGTGTGAGCGCACTGGGCACCGGGCTCGGCTCAGTGTACCGCAGCTGCTCACGCTGTGATTACTGATTGCTGTCACCGGAGCTGTGGCCGAGGGGGAGGGAGGCTTGTCTGTTCCTCCGGAGGAGATGCGAGCTGGGCCGGAAGATGAGCAGGAGTCGACCCGGGGTCCCCCGTGGAGGATGAGTGGAAGCTTAAGTCTCCATCTCTCTGTCTCTCTCTCCGGCAGTTACTACCTTATCCTCAGCTGTGGGGACGCTCCACCCCAGCCGGACAGCCGGAGGGGGTGGGGGCGGGGGCGGGGCCGCGCCCCCCCTCAATTCCATCCCCTCTGTCACTCCCCCACCCCCGGCCACCACCAACAGCACAAATCCCAGCCCTCAAGGCAGCCACTCGGCTATCGGCTTGTCGGGCCTGAACCCCAGCACGGGGTAAGTGGACAGCTGCAGTTAGGGGGGCTGTGGGGAGAGAAGCAGGGTAGCTGCCGCTTCCCGGGTGGGAGCTGCGCCCCAGTTCTGCCGCCGGCGGGTCCCTGCCCCTGCTAACGCCTCTGCTTTGCCTCTTGCAGAAGCACAATGGTGGGGTTGAGCTCCGGGCTGAGTCCAGCCCTCATGAGCAACAACCCTTTGGCCACTATCCAAGGTGCGTGCCGCCTCATGTCACTCCCATCGCCACCAGCCTGGCCCCCTGGGGCCTCGAGCCCCCCCCCCCATTGCTGCTCCAGCCATGCCATCCTGCCCCTGCTCACTGCATCGCTCGCCTCTTCATACCCATCTCACCTTTGGGGAAGGTGTGAGGGGTGCCGATGGGGATCAGTGGGGCAGACGGGAAGACAGGGGGACTCTGTGGGCAGGATGCCAGAAGGCGCCCCCAGCCCAGCTTCTCTCTCTCCCCGCCAGCCCTGGCCTCTGGTGGAACCCTGCCCCTTACCAGCCTTGACGGCAGCGGGAACCTGGTGCTGGGGGCGGCTGGCGCGGCCCCAGGGAGCCCCGGCCTGGTGACCTCGCCGCTCTTCTTGAACCACGCTGGGCTGCCCCTGCTCAGTGCCCCGCCTGGCGTGGGCCTGGTGTCGGCAGCGGCTGCGGCCGTGGCGGCCTCCATCTCCAGCAAGTCTCCGGGCCTCTCCTCGTCGTCCTCCTCGTCGTCCTCCTCGTCGTCCACGTGCAGCGAGGCGGCAGCACAGACCCCTGGAGGCCCCGGGGGGCCCGAGGCAGGGTCCAAGCCCGAGTGAGGGCCCACCTGGCCTCCCCTCCTACTCCTCTGACCCCCACCTCAGCCCCCCCCCCCCGCCCGCCTGGGAAGAGGGCAAGGAGGCCAGCGGTGGCGGCGCAGAGGGTCCTCGGAGCAGGAGTGACAAGGGAGGAAAGACCAAAAACAAAAAACAAAAAAACTCCCAACTAACCAAAAAAAAAAAAAAAAAAAANAAAAAAAAAAAAAAAAGAAAAGAAAAGAAAAGAAAAAGAAACAGAACACACACAAAGAAAAAAGGAAAGAAAATGAAAGAAACCAACCAACCAACAGAAAAGAAACCAAAAATAATTGCAACAGAAACCAGCTGCCCCAAAGGAACCAGAGGTGAAAAACAAAAACCAAAAAACAAAAACAAAAATCCCCCAACCGAACCAAACCAAAAACCAGTTGCGAGCCAGACCTCAGTGTGCTCACCCTCCCTCACCGCTACGACACCAAATAAGAACCCCCGCCAGTGGCGCAGGGGCCTCTGCAGGGAGGACCTCGCGCCACGCCTCTGGCTGTGGGGCCAACCCCCAACCTTGCCTCCCCCAGCAGGGGCCAGAGAAGGCAAAAGAGAATGTGCCAGCCTCCAGCCCCAGCCCCCAGCCCTGGGCCAGCGAAGACTGGGCACAGCCTGGGGCCTATGGGGTGGGCCCGGAACCACCCGCCAAATGTTCTTTTCCAGAAGGTGAAAGAGAAAGGGCCTGAACAACCTTACACCAAATATTCAGTAGCTTCATCCAAAGGATGTACAGAATTTTTAGCGTTGCGCTCAACAGAATGTGTCCCTACCATGTGTTCCCCCCTCTCCCTCGGCCCCCCCCACTCTCCCCACCTGGGCAGGGGGTCTCGCTTTAACCTCCTCCCCTCCCCCAGCCAGGGGAGAGTTCAGGGGCAGGCCTGGGATGACTTTTCAGCCCTTGTACCTCCCCCTTTTCCCTTTGAAGGGTGGGCTAGGCCGTTTTTGTAAAGTTCTAGCTCTCACATGTCCCCCCTCAACCCTGTCGCCCTCCTCTGCTCTGGAATCTACCCCCCTCCCCAGCCCAGGGGAAGGGGGAAGCTTCGGGCAAGAGGGGATGAGGTGAGGGCATTCAAGTTGTCTTTTTTTCCATCCTCGTCTGTCAGTTTCCCTGAAAAAAAAAAATTCATATTCCAGTGCCTATCCGTGGGATCCTTCACGTTCTTTGACATTGACCAGAAACCAAAAAGAGAACTCACCTCGCTCTTCCCACCCTGTGCCCCTTGATACTGGCAGATGCCTCTTCCTCTCCCCCCACACACATATATACACGCACGCACCCCAGTGGTGGGGCTCCTCGAGGTGGCATCCCCATCAGGGTCCATGTGGCGGGGACAGTGCCATGACCTGTGGTCCCCATCCGAGAGGGCGCTGTGGTGGCCACCACTCCCACAAGACCTCGCTCGAGTCTTGGCTGGACCCCTGTTTGCCCAGCCCTGGACACACCTCGACGGACAGAGGAGAGACATCGCTGGGAGCCCACTTTTGCCCTCCTGCTATTGTGGAGGCCAACAAAGTTTTGAACCAAAAAAACAAAAAACAAAAAAACAAAAAACAAAAAACCAAACAAACAATAAATTAAAACTAGAAAAAAAAAAGAATTTATAGATATATATATATTTAAGGGAAAGAAGACGAGGACTCTTCAAGAATAAGAAGGAGCCGCGAGGTGGAGCCAAGTCCCTGCGCCAGTGGTCCAGGCCCTTGGTCCCCAAGGCGGATGGAAGGACAGACGCTTCTTTCTCTTCACAAATACCTCATGGACGTCGTCTTCGGGAAAGCCGGAGGGGGAGGCTGGGGCAGGGCCTGTCCCTCAGCCAGGGCGGATGGAAGCGGGTGGGCAGGGCTGAGAGAGGGTGGGCAGGGACAGGGGTGAAGAGCCCCAAGCTCCCTGCCCCCCCTATTTATTTTAAAATTTTTTAAAAAAAATTAAAAAACAAAACAAAACAGGAAGAAAGGAATGAGAAAGCGAAAAGAACGGACGAAGGAAAACGAACAAACTTTCGGGCGGTTTGATTCCTCCTTTGATTTCTTTTTCTGTTCTCTTCAGTCTGTTCTCTCTCTCTCTGCTTCTCCCTCTCCCTCTTCCTTCGCTCTTCTCTCTCGCCCCTCTCAATCCGCACCTTTCGGTGTCTCTCCTCAAACCAAAGTGTTGCTGTGAAGGACGCGAGCCATGGAAATCAGAGGCCTGGCCCCTGCCGGGCGGCGCGCGCTAAGCGAGCGGGCGCTGCCGGACACACGGACACTCGGAGGAGAGGCGGACGCCGCCCTGGGCCCCGAGGCCTCAGCGTTCTCCCTTGCTTTCTTGTCTCCCTTCTCCCACCCGGGAAATGAAACTGTTGGGCCGGGCCACGGAGACAGCAGAGACTCGGCTGTTTTGGGGGTCTCGGTGGTTGCGGGGGGGCTGGCCTGGGCAGCAGTGGAATGGCCGCCCCTCCCGCCCTGGCACCTCCTGGGCCCGGCGCGCCGTCCACCCGTCCTCGCCGGAATGTAAGCGTCTCCGCTGAACCGACTCCCTGCCCTTACCCTACCTCTGAGTGTGTCCATTTTTATTTCCTGAAGAGAAGGGACTGGGCGAGAGGGCTTGGGCCCGAGCCCGAGGGTGGAGAGGGGGGCCGAGGGCTCCCGAACAGATAGGAAGGACATTTGAGCAGAGCAAAGTGAAAGGAATTACGACCAAAAACCCCTCCGAGAAGACAGGCAGCATGGAAGGCATGGTGGAGATGACTCAGACAAAAACTATGATTCTAGACCAAAAAACAAAACAAAACAAAAACAAACAAAAAAAAACACACAAAAAACAAAACCAAAAAAAAAAACAAAAAAACAAAAAAAAGGAAAAAAGAAAAAAAAGGAAAGAAAATCCAGGACTCACCACCACCCACTTCATCCTGCTTCCTCCCCGTCAAGTCCTGCCTCCTGGGACCTCTCCCCCACCCACCCCTGGGTGTGGGGGGGAGTGCGACAGAGAGGAGAGGGGGAAGCAGGGGGCAGGGATGGGGCCGATGCCCTGACACTGGTGGAGGGACCCCTGTGCAGCCGGGGGTGGTGGGGACCCTCCCCATCCAACCCCCATAACTGGGAAAAGAAAAACAAGAAAAAAAGAAAATTCCTGGGAGGGGAAAAATAACCAAATCCCAAGCTTTAACTACAGCTGTGAAACCAAATATTGGGAAGGGGGTGGGAGGGAGGGAGGGGCAGGTGTGCCCCAGGTCTCCCCCCTGGGCCCCCCTCCCCCGAGGACTCGAGATAAGGCACCAAATACCTCATAGAACTTTAATGTTAAAAAAAGGAAACCAAATATCGTTGGCTGGGGGCCAGCCAGGGCAAGGGGCTGGGGGGGCTGGAGGGAGCCAGGGTTGGGAAGGTAATGGGGGAATTCATGCCCCCCACCCCGCTCTGCCCCTTCCACTCCAGTACCCCCTGTCTCGACTCCGGGAAACAAAACTATCTCATCGTTTTTATTTTGTGGTCTGTACAGAGCCTGTGTCCGTGTGTCTGTGTGTGAGCGAGAGAGTTGTGGGGCTGGGGGACTTTATGTGGGGGATTGGGAGGGAGACCCCAAGCCAGGCTCTGGGCTAGGTGAGATGTCTGAGGTGGGGGGGCCAGGGGCCTGGGCTAGAAAGAGAGGAAGATGAGTGGATTGGAGAAAGGGGGAGCCTTCTGAATTTCTCTTCTCCCCAGCCCTGACCTCCTATTTGAGGGAGGGACAGAGAACGGGCCTACCTTAACGGTGGGCCTTTTGTGCCAAAAAAAGAAAAAAAAAAAGAAAAAAAGAAAAAAAAGAAATGCCAGTAACTAAAACACCTCTCTCTGTTCTCTTCTGGGAGGGTGGGGGCTGGAAATAGGAGGGAGGGGCTGGGAGTATAAGTGGGGGTGGGTGGAAATGGGGAACCCAAACCCTGTGTGAGTTGAGGCTAAGATCAGGAGTGGGGGGGAAAGGGTATGAGTTTCTCAAACATCTTCTCCCTCAGGAGGGCCAAGGGAGGGTCTCCAAGCTCCTCACCCTGGGAAAACAGGGTAAGGGATTAGCCACGTAGGCGACTGACCTCTTGACCTGACTAATTTCCTGGCCCACCCAAATCCCAGGGTGCCTCTCTCTCCCTTTAGCCCAGGGTAGGGGGAACTGAGTGAGAGAGAGAGTGAGACAGACTGAGCAAGATTGAGACACGCGGGCCCCCACTGGCCTCTGAGTGGGAAAGGCAAGTGCGAGAGATAAAGGCCTCCAAGAGAAAAAAGAAACAAACCAAAGATTTAACCATTAAAAAAAAAAAAACCCACAGACAACTCCGCTACCTTTTTATACGTTGGAAAAAAAAGTGAAAAAAATTAAAAAATAAAAATGAAAAAAAAATACACAAAAACTCCAAGCCGCAGTTCCTTCGTGCGGTTTGAACTTTGACCTCAGCAGTCTCCAAAGCAAGATGACGATGACAAAGGCGAAAAAAAAAAGAGAAAAAATAATGTATATTTTTAAGTATTTGTCCTTGAAATGTTAGCTCCTTGTTAAACAAACACAAAAAGGAGAGAAAAATCTAGAGAGAAGTGTTGCTGGGATGGAGACAACTATTTACTATGTCTGTGACCCCTCCCTTCTGCCTCCCCTTCCTCTCTTCTATCCCTGCTGCCCCTCCCCCAGCCTGTCCTCCAAGCCCAGGGGCTCAGTATTTATTTATTTACATAATTGCAGGGTGACTGGGGGCCTCTCTCCACTTGTAGAGAGGGCCTTTGGATCATGGTGGGGTGGGAAAGGGGCAAGGAGTGTTGGGGGGGGAAAGCAGGGGCCTGATCTTTGATCAACTCCTCTCTCTGCTAGCTCCTTTCTGGCTTCTTATCCCACTGCTGCCACCATCACCTCCCAAATCCAAGCCTGGAATAGGGCAAGATGACCACCCACCTTGTAAAGATCTGAGTGGCTCAGCCCTTTCTGGGGTGGGTGTCTCTCACCTACCCATTCAGATGACCAGGTTGGAATGGGGAGGGGAGGTGGTGGCCAGTAGTGGGCAAGGGAGACCCGAAGCGGCGTCTGGAAATTGAGTAGGCCCTGGAGGAGACCTGCCTTTCATCTGTTCTCAGCAAGTTAGCCCCACTTTCAGTTATCTGACCCCTGTGTTGGTAGCCCCTCCCTCCCCATCCTGTCCCCCCACCCTGTCTCTTCTCGTGGTAGCGGGTTAGCGTTTCAGTGTTCTTAACTCCAATCTGCTTGTTCATTGTACAATGTGCTTCTTTTAAGGCCCCATTTTTGTAACTTGAGTGTGTCATTCATCTGAACAACATCAAAAAAATAAAAAAGTAAAAACTGTACAGAGAGAAACGCCGCCTGTTCTCCCTTGGTCTCTGTGTGCGGGGAAGGGTGGTGCTGTGGCAGCGAGGGCTTTCCTTCTGTCCAAATAATGAATGTTCAGAAGGAGGGCCCGGGCCAGGTTTTCACCATCAGAAAACCTAAGTCTCAGAATTTAGGATGAATTCAAACTTCTGGATTTGTTTCTCAGTTCTGCCATTTTATAGGTATGTGACTTTTGATATGTAAGCTTCAATGTCCTTGTCATCTGTAACATAGGGACAATACCTATCCTGTTGGGTTGCAGAATTAAATGAGATGATGATGTAATAAGTAGGACAGATCTCTATCACATGGACTTCAAGACATGAGAACATAAGAAAGTCAGGAAACCCGTGAGTCCTTCCCCACTTGCATCCCCAGAGGACCCTTTTAAAACAAGCAAGCCCCTTTTAAAAACAGTTGACTTTGAAGTTGTCTGGTGGTCCAAGGCACACTCTTCTCTACAGTGACATAACTCTCATTCACTCAAATTTTTGTGCCCAGCTTGACTACGTCATTTGGCAAGGACAATGGCTTCACAGGCCAGGCCATGTGCTGGTCCCCAAAACCTTACCACTGAAAATCAGAAATGGTGGTGTCAACAACTGGGTTTTCTCACTGGCATCATGTCCCCTTGTTACTGTTCCGTCCTCTGATGTATGCTTGGCATACAGATGCTGGGATTCTGCAAACTCAGCTGTGAAGGGATGGGGGGGACAGGAGAAAGGGAAAGAATGGAAGAGGGGTTGGATCACTTAGACAAAAAGTATTAGCACTGCCTCATCTGGGCAAGACTGAAAGAATAGAAAAGCACCTCCCCCATTCTCAAGGCGTCTATAGGGATGGGGAAGCGGGATGTTGGTATAGAGGACAGTCATTTGGTCCAGCTGCTTCCTACTTCCTGTAGTGTGGTGCTGTCAGAACTCAAGTTCCTTGTCACCCAGGCTGTCCTGTGACAAGCACAGACAGCACACCTGAAGCACTCTAGAGTTGAACTTGCATCCACGTCAATGTGCCCAACGGTGCCACATGCCCTCCCTTGTACAGTCATACTCGGGCCTCTCGTCAAGAACATAGCGTGCACTAGAGGACCACCATTCTAGTCCCTTGACATTTCTGCTTATGCAGCTTCTGCATCCAACTAAAAAAAAAATAGGCGATTCAGGATCTTTTTAGAGTGGTCAGCAAGTCACCTCCATCAGAATCGGTGTATTTGTTTAAAGATTTTAAGTAATCTCGACATTCAATGTGTGCTCGAACTCATAACCTCGAGATCAAGAGTTGCATGCTCGGGGTGCTGGGTAGCTCAGTTGGTTAAGTGTCCAATTCTTGATTTCAGCTCAGGTCACGATCCTGCGGTTCGTGGGATTGGGCCCCGTGTCCGTCTCTGTGCTAAAAGCATGGAGCTTGCTTGGGATTCTCTACGCCCCTCTCCCTGCACTTTTTCTCAGGATAAATAAACTTAAAAAAAAGTCACATGCTCTGCTGAGCCAGCCAGGCACCCCAGAATCGGGTATATTTAAAATGCAGATTGCTGGGACGCCTGGGTGGCTTAGTCGGTTAAATGTCCGACTTCGGCTCAGGTCATTATCTCATGATTTGTGGGTTCAAGCCCCGCATCGGGCTCTGTGCAGTCAGCTCAGAGACTGGAGCCTGTTTCAGATTCTGTGTCTCCCTCTCTTTCTGACCCTCCCCAGCTCATGCTGTCTCTCTCTCAGAAATAAACAAAACATTTAAAAAAATTTTAATAAATAAAATGCAGATTCCTGGATCTCATCCACACGTTTGCTGGATCTGAATCTCTAGGGGAATTGTCTAATACACATTAAGGTTCAAGAACCTTTGCCTGTCCAGGGCACCTGGGTGGCTCAGTCATTAAGCATCAGACTTGGGCTTAGATCACTATCTTACATTGGTGAGTTAGGAGTCCTACATTGGATGAGCTCAAGCCCTGCTTGAGCCCCAAGTAAAAACATGAGCCCCGAGGGAGCCCAGCTTCTCTCTCTCCCCATCTCTCCCCCTCTGCCCCTTGCTCACTTGTGTCATAGAAAAAAAACAAAAAACAAACCCTAAAAAACACCTTTGCCTGTCCAACTCAAAACCCGGCATCCAACAAGGCCTCAATTAGTGCTACCCTGTTTAGGACAGTAATTCAACTGAGGACCATCCGCTTTCAGCAAGGTGACGGTCTTGTTCACAGATGGGATTGCACGCGTAAACATTTCTCAGGGTGGGAGTCCAGAGTTTTCATTAGAAGCTCTGAAAAGGATCAACTAAGGAAGGGTGATCATCCCACGGTCACAGAGCCATTCTTCTCTGCTGAACCAGCACTCTCGGGGTCCCTCCCCTCCACTCCTGTTCCTTTTGATTTAACCTGATTTTATCCGATTTGGCAAGGATAAATCCTCCAATTGCTCTAAGCACGTATTCGATAGGACTTTCAGGATGTTGCAGCTCTGCATGAGGCGGCAATTTGAGAATGAATCTTTACCTGGGGATGAAAGGGGATCTAGCATGCTGGGCTAAGATTGCTTGAGTCCCTTCTGCAGGGTGAGGTCACTCAAAGACGGTGCCCACAATCCACATGCTCTAGCTGAAACTACTGGACACCTAACTGCTCCTCATTAGGAGCACTCTGGTTATCAAACAGGTTGAATTTTCATTTTTTATTTTTCTTTTCTTCCTTTTTAATGTTTCTTTTTGAGAGAAAGACAGCGCGCGAGCAGGGGAGGGGCAGAGAGAGAGGGAGACATAGAATCTGAAGCAGGCTCCAGGCTCCGAGCTGTCAGCACAGAGCTGGACGTGGGGCTCGAATCCACGAGCCGCAAGATCATGACCTGAGCTGAAGTCGGATGCTCACCTGAGTGAGCAACCCTGGGGCTCCTGAATTTTTTTTTTTCTTAAGACTTCTGTAGTAAAAGCTCCATGACTGGCTAGGAGACTTAGCTTCTAGCTCTGGTTTCCCATCTATGTGGTCTTAGTTAAGTTTCCTATCTCTGAAGTCCTCGTTTTCACCTGGACATAAGGCAAAAACCAGTGAAGGGCTCCAAGCCCAGTGCCCCGAGGCTACGGGGCTGCTGACGGGGGCGAGAGTAACAGGGTCTGAGTGGGCAGCTCTCAGGCCTCCCTTTTCCTGCTTTCCACACAGTTTTCCTTCACCTTTCATTGCTTAGGGTCCCAAATAAGAATTTTCTGCCAACACAAAGACTGGAATAACCTTGGCGGGGGCTTATTTTTCTCGGGCCGTGGCTGAAGCACAGCAACTCAGCACTCCCACCAGTCACCGTCTTCCTTCTCAACCGCCTTCCCCTAAGCAGAAGGCATTAGACTGTGCAGAAAGGCAGACGGGTGATTAACCCAGAGGAAACTAGGCTTAAATTCAAGCTCTATCCTAGGTGGGCTGGATGACCTTGAGCAGATCACCTCACTGCTTTGGACTTCGGACTGCCCTACAAAATGTTCCCCTTACAGGGGAGTATGAGAATTATGATAAAAATGTAAGGAAGGACTTGAAACAAACTAGACGTTCAAACACCCACTGGTCACTCCAACCACCCCTCTCCCTGCATCTCCTGGCTAAGACAGCATCCAATTTTAGGTGGGTGGCAGGGCAGCTGCCCTCGTGAGGCTGTCCACCCCCAGAATCTTCTCCGACTCCACAGCTGGGTCTGGTCCTAGGAGCCACCCTCTTCTACCGCCCTGGAAATCCTGTCTTTCCCAGACCTGCGTTTGTCCTCAGGGATCCAGTGAAAAAACCAGATGACCTCGGAGGAGACGGCTCACATCAGGCCAGGAGTAGGGGGCCGGGGGGCAGAGGTGGTGAGAAGAAATCTTAAGATTCTTCTAAATGCTCCTGACACCAATTGAAACAGCTCCAAGCTGGGGCGCCTGGGTGGCTCAGTCGGTTAAGTGTCCGACTTCGGCTCAGGTGATGATCTCATGGTTTGTGAGTTCTAGCTCAGAGCCTGGAGCCTGTCTTTGGATTCTGTGTCTCCCTCTCTCTCTCTCAAAAATAAATTAAAAAAAAAAATTTTTAAAAACAAAACAAACAGCTCCAGGCTTTTCTGTGGGGACCTCTAGTGGCAAGACAGCCCCACTGCTTGCCCTGGAGCACCAGGGTGACATCCAGGCTCCCTGAGCCCCGCCCTCGGACCTCTTCAGTGTGGCTGAGGTCAACGGAGCTCCTAGATGCTAAAAGCACAGCCATAAAAGCGCAGACCCAAGAGCCTGGGCTCCCAGCTCCCACCCCACACAGCTGGCCAGACAGAAACACATCAAGGTCCAACTCAGTCTTTATTGACTGTTTCATCTTGGGGCCACCAGTGCTAAAAGGTGGGCGGGGGGCTAGGAGGGCACCTTTACGTGTATCAAGGACCCCAGATCAACCCCCTCACGAGAGAGAACAAATCCAGTTACAGAACTTGCACGGCGTTTGGGAGACGGAGGGAGGAGCACAGTATCTAGAGATCTGAGGGGGTGCTGGAGGCTCCTCGGCAACGGGGCATGGCGGTGCTGACGAGGGGAAGGGGACGGGTCAGCCGCTGATCTGGACCCCCTCGGCCTCGGCCAGAGGGTAGATCTCAATGGCCTCCACCAGGGGCAGCGCCTCTGCCGCCGTCTCCATCACGGCCAGCCCCACGGCGGCCTCGGCCTCGGCCAGCTGCTGGCGCACGGCGGCCTGGTGCTGCTGCTGGTGGGTCTTGCGGTGTTTCCACAGGTTGGAAAAGGAGCGGTAGCTCTTGCCACAGTCTGGGCACGAGTAGGGCCGCTCCCCCGTGTGAATGCGGCGATGCTCCGCCAAGCGCATGGAGATGGCGAAGGCCTTGCCGCACACCTCGCAGGCAAAGGGCCGCTCGCCCGTGTGCAGGCGTCGGTGGTCCTTCAGGTGGGTGCTCTGGCGGAAGGCCTTGCCGCAGTCCGGGCACGGGTACGGCCGCTCGCCCGTGTGGATGCGCCGGTGTACCTGCAACGACGTCTCTGTGCTAAACAGCTTCTTACACTCACTACACTCCAGGCCCCGGCGTCGGGCCGGGGCCGCGGGAGCCGCGGGGACCGCGGGGGCCGCACCCCCCAAGGGGGTCGGGGCAGCCACAGGCGTGCGGGCGGCCCGCGGCGCCCGAGGGGCCGGGGGCTCCTTTGCCAGGACCTCTCCTGGCCCGGCCGCCGCGTGCGCCGCCTCGTGTGCCTGCAGCCGGGCGGCCGAGCCCACCTTCTTGCCGCAGGTGCCACACTCGAAGCGCCGCGGGGCCTGGGCGGCGGCAGCGGCACAGCGGTGCTCGCGGAGGCGCAGCGAGGAAGGGAAGGCGGCCCCGCAGGACGGGCAGCGGTGGGGCTGGCGCCCGGCGTGGGCCACGAGCTGGTGCACCTCCAGCAGCCGGCGCAGCAGGAAGGAGCGCGGGCACTCGCGGCACTTGTAGGGGTACTCGCCCGTGTGGTGGTAGCGGTGCATGAGCAGGCGGTAGGTGCGGTGGAAGCGCACCCCGCACTCCTGGCAGCGGTAGGGGAAGTGCTGGGCGTGCACCAGGCGATGCTGCCTCAGCGTGGAGCTCTGCGTGAAGGCCTTGCCACAGTCCCCGCACCGGTAGGGCCGCTCCCCCGTGTGCGTGAGCCGGTGGCGCGCCAGGTTGGCGGGCGAGTTGAAGGGCTTGGAGCAGTCTGGGCAGGGGAAGGGCCGCTCGCCCGTGTGCGTGCGCAAGTGGTTACGCACATGAGACTTCTTCTTGAACATCTTGCCACAGATGCCACACTTGTGGCGCCGCTCCAGCCTGTGCACGAAACGCTGGTGGCGGGTCAGCTGCAACGCCTTTCCAAACTCACGGCTACACAGGAGGCAGCGGTAGGTGCCTGGGGCGGCGGGTCCCCCCGGGCTCTCTTCGGTCACAGGGGGCTCCGGGGCCTCTGACTCTCCAGTCTCTGCGGCGGCCGGCTCGGGGAACCCGATGACGGGCTCCTCTGGCGGGACTGGGGTCGTGGGCAGAGGGACGCCCCCCGCCCCGTGCGTACGCCGATGATACAGGAACTTGGTGAGGTTGACGAAGGTCTTTCCACACGGACACGAGTGCAGAGGATTCGGGGTGTGGGCTCGTCGGTGGGCCAGGAGCAGGGCCTCTGTGCCAAAGGCCAGGCCGCAGTCCACACATAGGAAGTGAGACTCGCTGCTGTGGTCTCCAAGGTGCTGGTCCAGGCTGGAAGGGCTGGGGAACACACGGCTGCACAGAGGACACTTAAAGACACCCTCCCGGTGACTCCGCAGGTGCTGCTGGAGCTGGTGAGGGGATAGAAAGAGCTGGTCACAGGCGGAGCAGAAGAGCTCCTGGGTGGCCGTCCCACCCAGCTCGCCGCTGTTGTTCCTCCGGGCCTTGCGCCCCCGGCGATCGCGCCCAACGGCTTCACCGTTGCGCAGCTCGTAACTGTGGTCAGAGGATGGCAGGGGGTCAGGCTGAGACGCGGGGACCTCCGCAGGGGACGGGGTCAGGGTGTCCTGCTGCACGGCAGGCTCCTCGGCCTCTGGGGTGGGAGCAGTGAAGTGGGTGGCCTGGTGTTCTAGGAAGTCGGCCGGAAGCTGGAAGAGCTGGGAGCACTCGGAGCACTTATAGAGGAGCAGCTCCACCTCAGTCACCACTTCCGCAGTGGTGGCCGCCGCGGAAGGGACGGCGGCCCCCTCCCCACCCTCTTCTGCCTTGCGGTATGAGTGTTCCACAGCCACACGGGCCTGGCCCACAGGGGGCCCCAGGACAACCGGGGACCCCAGGACAACAGGGGCTGGAGGCTTGGCGGGAGTGCCCCGGAGGTGCGTCTGCCGGTGGTTCAGCCAGAGCTCCTGGCTGGCGAAGAGGGCCTTGCAATCCACACACTCATAGTGGATGGTGCTAGAGCTCAGGGCGGGCGCCTTGGCGGGCGGCTCGGCTGGCACTGCGTCCTGGGGAGCCAGCATCTTCAGGTGCAGCTCCTGGTGCTCCAGGAGCTGGCTGGGAGACATCAGCAGCTGCCCGCACTCCAGGCACTGGTACTGGCTCTCCTGCACCAGGGTCTGATAGAGGCCGGTGCCCGAAGCCGCCTCTGCGGCGACGGTGACGCCGGGGTCAGCCACGCCCACCAGCTCAAAATGCTGCTGGGGCACATGGGAGTTCTGGTGCATGAGCACCTCCTCCAGGGATCCATACAGCTGGTTGCACTCGGAGCAGACATAGCGGTGCTCAATGTACAGGACGGTCTCCTCCGACTCCTCCGTCATGGCGGCAGTGAGGCCCTGGGCTGCGAAGAGAGGGCAGCGGAGACACAGCACAGCTCAACTGGCGTTCCTTCAGTCGTTCCCAGGGATGATTCCTTCATCACCCACCAAAACCTTAGCTGTGCTTTACCCTCTGACTTGTTTCCATCTTCCACTCTCCGCCCGCCCCCACAATCCCTCCTCCCCTGCACACGCAAGACCAAGCACAAAACCCTTCCCAGCACCTACCTGGCTCACCTCTGAATCGCATCAAACTCCACCCGCCAGATCCTGGTCACCTGTCGGACCCCTCACCTCCTGTGCCTCACAGCTGGCCCACAGCCACGTGCATCACACAGGAGCCTGTGTCCTCTCCACTCAAACCTCCTTCCACTGACTTCCTCTTCTTACCAACTCGCTACCCCAGTCCCGCTCCCAGGTGCCCGGGAGCGTCTTCACAGGCCCTGACCGCTGCCACCTTCTCCCAGCCTCTCTCCTCTTCTGTCCCCCCAGCCCCCGAGGTTTCTGACTTCTATTTACACCCAAGACTGTCCCAGCGGCCCACCATTTTCAGTGCCTTCACATGGTACAGCCCCTCTCCTTTACACACAATGCCTAGTATACACGGTCTCTCTCTCTGGTGCCCACATTCCTCGCGTCAAACTCTCCCTTCCCTCAATCGACCTGTCTCATTTGGTCTAACCCATCACATTTTACACTTTTCCGTCTTTACCCACTCCCCGTGATACCCAGATCCCTGCCTTCAAATTACTTAAAACCTCCCTCTATATCAAAGCTCTCTCCCACAACCCAACCCTCTATCCAGAATACCCAGCCCCATTTCACAAAAACCTAACCCTTTCTTTACACCTAGATTCTACCCGCCACCCTAACTCAAGACACTCTTTATAGTAATTACGCCTTCTTTATATTGCAATCTCACCTACAATCCTAATCCCTTCTGGGGTACCCACATCTCCTCTTCACATTGACAACCGCCCCATAGGAATACCCACTCCCTTGTTCATGTCAACTTCAGCGCCTCTTCTTTACAAAATGACCCACCCTAACCCATTTCAGTGATGCTCAGATACCATCTTCACATCAGCTTAAACCCTTCCTTACAAGCCCAAGCGAGGGACACCCAGACCCCCTTTCATATTATTAACCTAATATTTTCTTACTTGCAAAAAATGCCCCACCCTCCCTCCCTAGCCCAGTCTAGGGATGCCCAGATCCCCTCTTGATATCAACCTAAGCCCCTCTTCTTTGCAAAAAGGATGAACCACCACCCCAACCCACTCCAGCGATGCTCAGACCCCGTCTATGTTAACAGCTTAGTTTCTCTGCTTTGCAAAAAGATCCCAGCACATACTCTAACCCAGACTACCCTGCACGAGGGCTTAAACTTTTACACATACTTTTCCTACTGCCCAAATCCCCTCTAGGAATACTCAGACCCTATCCTCTAGGATAGCCAGACCCCTCTTCCTTAACAGCCAGAACCCCCTCACCAGCTTACTGCCGTGGGGATACCCACACCCCCCGACTTCTTGTCAACCCAACATCCCATTCTCATTCCAGAGATACCAAGCCCATTCCCCCACTCAGGACACCCATACCCAATTCCCACTCTTCATCTTGACTTAATTCCCTCTACTTTTCAAAACATTACCTCTACCTAACCTATCCTAGGGACACTCAGACACTTTTTTACATAACCCTTTGCACAGAGACTCCTCTCAGCCCATTCCGAGGGTATCCACCCCCTTTCAGTTTAACTACTCTTCACATTAAAGTAACCCCATTCTCCACACCCGGACCTTGCCCTCAACTCTAAATCTCCCTTCCAAGAATATCTATTTGCTAGTATCTTTTCACACCAAGCCCCTCTCACTGGTCCAAGCCCCTCTCACTGGTCTTCCTTCCAAGCATAACTAGGTTTTCTCTTTATGGCAACTTAATTACCTCTTTTCTCACGCCTTAGCTCCCTCCCCGGACACCCAGGCCCCCTCTAACGGACCACCCCCCACTTTGGTCTTGACAGCCCACGGCCAGACCTTGGCCGCGATACTCCCTGGAGCCTTGGAGCCCCTCCTGGGGACAGCCCTAACGCCTCCCTTCCCACCCAGGTCCCTGGCAGTCCCCAGCCCGAGCCTCGCCCCTCCTCACTCTGACCGTCACACGACTCCAGCCCCCTTCACCACCCGCCGCCCCGGACCGGCCCCCGCCCCGCCGCCCGCGCGCCCCGCCGGCCGTTGGTGCCGCTCCGCCCTCCCCGCCCGGCGCGCGCCCCCTCCGGCCCTCAGTGCGCAGGCGGGGTGGCACGGGGAGGCCGGGAGGGGGGGAGGGGGGAACCAGGCCGGCCTTCCGCGCCCCTGCCCGCACTCACCCGCCTCCGCCGTCTCGCACGCCCCGGGCCCAGGCCCGGGCCGCAGCTCCCCTCGCGCGGCCACCCTAGCGTCGCGCCCTCTCTAGCTCCCGCCGTAGTCTCTCGTCGGCTCCGCAGCCTTGCTCTCGCCCCCAATCGCCCTCAGCAACGCCCCGCCTACCTCCCTCCTCGGCCGCTGGGCGAACGGCCGGACGCGCCCAATCAGCGTCCGACTGGCTCTTGCCGTTCGACTAATCGACGTTCACGTCCCTGAGTCTTGGGCCAATAGTATGGAGCGTCGGGATCCTCCGCAGTGACCGACCAATCATCTGGCGATGTTCCCTCACCGGCCTGCCCCGGAGTTGTTAGTGCCCGCCTCCTTAAGCCCCCTGGAGGATGCACCTCCTCCAGCTCTTCGTCGACTCCGCCTGACGTTCGAAGAAGGGAGGGCTACACGGTGACGTCAGGCGGCGGAGTGAGGCTGCGGGCGCCATCTTGGGGGCGCCGGGCGGGAGTCGGGTCGGGGTCGAGTAGGGAAGTTGGAAAAACTGAGGCACACGACACCCGGAGGGTGGGGGCGGGGGAGCTGTGGCGCTGGAACCGCGGGGGAGCGAACGGAGAAAGTGAATCATCATCAGTCAGCGCGAAATGGGGAGGGGAAACTGCAGCGAGCACATGGAGGGAGTAAAAAGGGAAACTGAGGCTCCAGACTCATTTCATTAAAAAGAGGAACGAAAGCAACGAGAAGGAAGGGGAGTGGAGCCGGCGGACTCTTGAGGCGGGGGGGCGGGGGGGTGAAATGTCAAAGGAGAAGCGAGGGAATCGAATCTGAGGAACGAGGAAAACCTGAAGGAGAGGGGAGGAGATGGGGAAAAAGGGAAAGCAGACACTTTCTTTTGAAGAAACGGGGAGTGTGTGGGGAGCGGGCAGAACACCTGAAGGACAACTGCAGGGTGAAAACTTGCAGAAAGTGACCCTGTAGCGGACGGACTCTGCTTCCTTCCGAGGTGCCTGCCTTCTGCGCTGACCCAGGGACCCTGGTCATCGCTACTCCTCTCCCCGTTCCGTTCGGCGCTCAGGGCGTTGGCCTCGCACTGTTACGTTCCAGAAGCTGCTCTTTGAAGGAACCCAAGAACGGGAGCTGCAGGAGAGTCACCTGTTCTAACTCCTCCCGCCCCCGCCCCACCCCATTTCTCAGAAGAGTCAACTGTGTCTCAGAGGAGTTGGTCATTACCTTCCTGAAGTTCAAAGCTACAGAGGGACACCCCCACCCCCCACCCCGAGCACAGAGTGGGACCTAGGTGTGACTCCTCAAGTCATCACCTTTGCTGTGTCCTTCGATTGATTTCTAACTGGCTGTCCTAACTTCCCGCGAAATTAAAATCCCTAACATCAAGCCAGTATAATTCTAGCACGCTGTCTGGATTGAAATCCTGACCCTGCCACTTCCAGCTGTCGTCTTGGACGAGCCAACTCCCCTGTGCCTCTGTTTTCTCACCTGTGAGATGAGGATCATAACCCCTGTCTCATGGTTGTGGGGCACAGAGTAAAAGCTGCGGAGGAATTATTTTTATTAGGACCTCAAGGAGCCCAGTAATAATCCCTCACGTGTCCCGAGTGTGTTATGATGTGCCAGGTACTGGGCTTGGTGCTTTCTGTGCTGTATAGGCGTGATCATCTCAACAACCCTAGGAGGGAGGAATCACTGTTCTCACTTTTACAGAGAGACTGGGGCCCAGAGAAGTTAGGTAGTTTGCCTGTCTTTTGGAGGAGCCAGAGCCAGGGTTCCAGCCCAGGAGCTGACTCCATCATCTATGCTCTTGGCCCCCAGGCTCTACTGCCCGGCAGGTGGATGTCCTGTTCCTGCAGGGCATGGGGAATGGCTGAAGGCAAGAAGTGGAGGGAAGTCGGTGGGAGCGTGGGAGCTCTGAAGCTGGTGATCTGGGTTTGCCATCAGGGTGAAATCACCCGGGGTGGCAGCCAGAGAACCTGGAAACTAGACTCTGCCTTCGATAGGCTCCAGGCACCCGGGCAGGTTCTCACTCCTGCCGAAGCCCCCTTTTCCACCTGAACGTGCAGAGGTCCAGCCTGGCGTGTCAGGCCCCTGTCTGCTCAGCCCTTCTGCTTGGACTTCCCAGTTTATCTGGGTCGACTAGGATCTTTCTCTTCTGATGATACAGGAGTAAGCCGAGCCCCGGGTCGGTCTTTGCGCAGGTGGTGGCATGGGACCAGATTTCTGGGGTAGGTTTATTTTACAGAGGATAGGCATTCTTTTTCTTGGGGCCCCTGCATAAGCAAAGGCCTATGGGCCGGCAGGAGTCTGGGCTTTCAGGCTTAGCTGGAGCTGAGGGTGGGTGTTGGGGGGACCATGGGTGTTGCCCACATAGGGTGAGGAGGTGTATGCAAAGTTGGTGGCCCTTCAGGATGCCGTATACGTGTCAGATATGTGTCAGGGATGCTCTATATGGGATGAGGGCTCCCTATGCTAGGCCGGTGTAAGGGTTGCCATGTGCTGTGTGTGTGTGTGTGTGTGTGTGTGTGTGAAAGGCATATGGTCACGTGTGCTGGGGGGCTGCACGTGAGTGTGTCAGTGTCTCCTCCCCATCACGAGCATTGGGGGTGGTGGTGAGTCACGGGCTCAGCCTTCAGCGCCAACTGTCATGTTCCTTCCCCCCAAATTTCACCCCCCACCCAGCCGTGCACCACCCACCCCCACTCCGAGATCTGTGTCACTGCTTCTGTCTTCCATCCCCCTGTTCTGCTCAGCTCCCTCAGAGAGGCTGGCGTGGGCTCCCTGGGAGGGAGTCTCCCACTTCTGGCTCCGCCCTTGGGTTCCTTGCCCTCTCCCACCGCCTCTGCTCAGGTGGAAGCTAGGGAAGGAAGGCCTTTCCGCCCCACCCGCTCATGTCTGTGGGGCCCAAGGATTTCTCTATGCATTATAGAGAACCGCCCCGCTCACCACCCCATCCCGTCCCCTCTGCAGGGGCTACTTCTGGGGGCTTCTCCCTTGTCTGCGGGGTTTGGCCTCTCTCACCTTAGGGGACCTGTCGTGTCCACACATCCTTGTGTCTATGGGTTCCTGGTACCTGTGCCCTCCCTTCCCCATTTCTGTGACCTTCTCCCACTTTGCTTGGCCCGCCTCCCTGTCTCTATGATGTGCATCCTTGTTCCCATTTCTGTGGGCCTCTCCTCCTGTCCCCACAGACCACCCCCCACGTCCAGGGAGTGCTTTCTGTTCCCATGGGCCTCTCTCCATCTTCCTGGGGGGACTCTCTGTGTCCACCAGCTGCCCGCGTCTCTGAGGTCCGTTGCCGTCTCTGGTCTGCTCCCATGTCTCCATAGGCCTTCCTCGTTTTTCTCGGCTTTTCCCCCTGTCCGTGTCCTTGTGGGGTTGGTGGACCTGGGCCCACCCCTGGGGATTTTGATGGCCGTCTTGCCTCTCCTCTGCATTTTTCTTCATCTCTGTGGCCCTCTCCCCCCAGCTCCACGGCCTTCTCCTCAGGTCTCCCTGCCTCTAATCTCCGTGGGCTCCTGGGCAGGGCGGCGGCACGGTGGTGGAGGGGGTGGCCCGGGGGTGGGCCCTCCATCCAATGCAGTGCCTTCCCCTCATCAGCATTCTCCTCGCAGGCCCCCCAGCCCCGACCAATACGGGCTCCCCCTCCCCCCCACCCCCCTCCCTCCTCTTTCTCCGCCTGCTGCCCTCCCTTCCTCCTGCCCGCCCTCCTCCCTGCCTCCCTCCCTCCCTCCCTCATCTCTCTCTCCCCCCGCCCTGCGCTCCAGGACCCAGCGCGGGCGGGCGGCGGGCGGGCGGGCAGGCAGGCAGGCGGCGGCCTCGGAGGGGAGAAGGAGAGGTGGCGGCGGCGGCGGCGGAGGTGGTGGTGGTGGTGGTGGTGGCGGCGGCAGTGGCGGTGGCAGCAGTGACGGTGGCGACGGTGGCCAGCAGCAGGGAGGCAGGCCCAGCTGGGGACCCAGAGCCGGCGGCAGCGCCTCGCAGGGGACCAGGAGTCCGTGGCCAGGCCCTCCCACTGAGGCCCTGCACTGGGCGCCCCCGGGACACCCCACCCTCCTCCGCCTTCCTCTTCCACCTGCTCCTCTCCATCCTTCCCTCCCTCCTCCCCATCTCTCCACCTCGCCTGCCCCCTTCTCAGCTCTCCGGGTCTCCCAGCACCCCGTCCTCCCCAGCTCCTCCACCCCTTAGCTTCTCCCCGCCCCTAGCATGCTTTTCCCTTGGGGGCTGAGGGCTTGAGGACTCTGGGCCCTTGCCTTATCCAGGGCAGGGCCAAGGCTACAGGGGGGAGGGGGGAAGGGGTGGCCCCCTCCCCCCAATTAATCCCTCCCCTCCCCCACTCCTCCTGATGGCCGGCTTCCTTGTCTCCAGCCAGTCGTCGCCCCCTGTGGCCCCCCCAGGCCGGCCCGGCTAGGGGAGGGGGCGGGGGCCCTTTCCTGGGCCGGCTTCCCCCTCCCCCGGCTTTGCCTGTGCCCCCCTCCCTTCCGTTTTCACCTTCCTCTCCTCCTTTCCTCCCTCCTTCCCCTCCATTTGCTCCTTCCCCCTCTTCTCTCTCCCCTTCTCTCCTCCATTTTCTCCTTTCCCCTTCCTCC